GGGGTGGATATACGATACCAGTGTCGGTAATTTTACATGACTACGTTAAAACCCTGCTCAGTAGCAGTGTGCTCTCGTATATGTATGTTGTGGAACTTAAAGATGTGCCATCGACAACAAATAAACCCAATCATCATGACGTACATCAGAACGAAACCATCACTGTTAAAAATGCAAGACGATTGGTTTTGGGATTTGAAGACTGCGAGGGCATCATCAGCAACAAACCAGGAACAGAGATGTTTCTAAGCGCGTCAACATCTAGCATGGTTGGCAAAGTGGGCTGTTTGATTCTGCAAAGTCGCCGGATTCGTCTGCGTGATCTTGCTGAGTAGGCAAACAAATGATCTTGCCGATCATTAATCAGGTGACTTACCATAAATTTGCACAAGCGGGATTTTCAAACCAGTGTCAAAAACGCTGGAGACCAGACAGAAAGGCGTACTCGCGTAAACATTTCTTTTGTAAGATTTGAGTGTCACCGACAGCGATTGATGCCAAGCATAACGACGTGCGCCAGAACAAAACCGTGGCTGATGGAAATGCAAGGCAATGAGTTTTGCGATTAAAACAAAATCATATATGATACAACACTAATGGTCTTACTCCGCATAGAACAATCAGAAGACAGTTGAAATAGATTAACTCATATCTCGGCTACATGCCTTTGTTGAAACGAATACCAGCATTACCTTAAAAACAGCCTTTTGTACGATCAACGACAATCAAAATTGTAAGTTCAAAATTCAGAGAAGTTTCGAATTTACTCCTGATATTCGCTTCGATAAATGCATATAGCCAAACTGTCAATTCATCTACATCTCCCTTCTTCTGGTTATTCTACGAAGAATAAGCCGAAGAACGAAGAAGCATTAGCTTATCTATATGCATAATATCCCTTCCAAATGCACTCAACAGCTTACGCAAAACAAAATGGTCATACAAAAGCTGCCTAGAAACAAGCATATTAAATTTATTAATAGCTTTATATCAGCCTGCTATTCATTTAAGAGCAATGCACCTTAACGTTTATCATACATCGGGTTTTTATTGTATACATACTGTTGTAGCAAACTTACATTTTATCACACAAATCTAACAAATCTACCCATAATAGTTGCCATTCATGATGCAGGATTGTCAGTCCAACTTATTTTATGAGAACCCTGCACCCCAAATCACCCTTCATCCCGATGTTAATCTGGTCGCTCAATGTTGGTGCAGCCCCCCCCCCCCCCCCCCATATGTCTTGCTGGAATCCTTTAAAAGATAAGGGAAAAGTCTATGGCTTACACAAGTCAGTCTTCCTGAACAATATTTTATTAGCCATGGCTACCATACTGATTAACAAACGAGTTTTTGAAAAAGGACAAAAGTTGCAAGTTGTGCTTCGTTCAATCAAAGTGGACTAAATATGTTGACATTCACACCTTGAGGCGACGAGAATTCAGTGAGCCCTTTGCTATCCCTAACCCAATCACTTCTGCAAATTGATATCCCTGTTTTAATAGATAGAAGAAACTTTCAGTGCTTGAAAATCAATACTTGCGGATCTCCGCAGGTTTGTTGCCCTCTTAGCCATAATAGATGGTGCCGCTGCGGGACGGAACATCGTTTGAAGTATGTAGACGCCATCACAATATATCAAGCATGTTTATTTGCCCTGAGTGGGGGGCACAGCCAACTGCAAGACGGGACTGGTAAAATGTGTGGAAAGGCAATGTGCTTACTGCCAGGAAACCACTGACTCACCCGGACGTCATGACCAACCGGGCCAGCTTGCCAGTCGTTAGCGGCACTAAACTTTGAGACTCGTCAGTCTCAAGATCAAACCATTAAAATTTACAACATCCTCGCGGGAGCGGCATCGGCCGGCAATGCAGGCCGTCCGTGAGCCGACGAGACCGGTTTCGTCCCAGTGAACACTGGGCGGTGAGTTTTTAACATGCCACGTGGTGGACAGCCTACCGCGGCTTGGGAAGCATGTCTAACATACGCGAGGAATGTGACAATGTGCGACTGATAGGGCTGCTTCTCTGCCAATACAGCACAGTCGCCTGATCACGGCATCCGCTGTGCTCCGTGGACCCCCACAAGATCTCAATCAACGGTCGCGGGCCCTTCACAGTGGCTGTACTGTAACGATCGGTGTCAAATGTGAAATACATGCTGTCGTGCGCGGCATGTGCGGTCATATGCACACGATGTCTTCCGGGAGCAGTATCGGTCGGTGCGTGCGATCATATGCATGCGATGTCTTGCGGGAGCAGTGTCGGTTGAAAATGTTAATTGTCCGTCGGTCTACAGAGCCTTTTTCCAGTAATGTTGTAGACACCTTGTTGGCGTAAAAACACCAGCATCCTTTAAACCAGTTTCTGGGAGACCGTTTGGCGATTAATGGTCGACGTTGGCAGCAACTATGTGGTGTGTGTGTGTGTGTGTGTGTGTGTGTGTGTGTGTGTGTGTGTGTGGTGTGTGTGTGTGTGTGTGTGTGTGTGTGTGTGTGTGTGTGTGTGTGTGTGTGCGCGTGTGTGTGTGGTGTGTGTGTGTGTGTGTGTGTGTGTGTGTGTGTGTGTGTGTGTGTGTGTGTTGTGTGTGTGTGTGTGTTTGTGGGTGTGTGTGTGGTGTGGGTGTGGGTGTGGGTGTGGGTGTGGGTGTGGGTGTGGTGGTGGGTGGGTGTGTGGTGGGGTGGGTGTGTGGGTGTGGGTGTGGGTGTGGGTGTGGGTGTGGGTGTGGGTGTGGGTGTGGGTGTGGTGTGGATGTGGGTGTGGGTGTGGGTGTGGGTGTGGGTGTGGGTGTGGGTGTCATTGGTAATTTAAGACGCACTCAGCTGCTAAGGCTATATAGGTTCGCCTCCCCCTCACTCTGACAGGAAGGGCAAGTATCGCGGGGAATTGAAACCCGTTTCTCTGGTTTCCCGGGCGCGTAGCTGAACCATTCCACTATCGGTACCCCCATTGTTTTATGTCATCTTTTGGCAAGTCATTACATTCTGATGTTGATCATAAGTTGTTAAACAGAGCATTATGTTTGTTCGCAAAGCTTTTGTGTTAAGAACGTGACTAATTTGTTAATCCCGTATTCTAAAAGGCCAAAGAAGCTCCAAATTTGCCACCAATGCACGTTAAAGCCCGACTGCCTCCTGCACCAGCACCACCCAGGCCAGCAGGCACCAAGTGTCAGCGCTATACTTGTGCCACCTTGTAACGCATCGTCCATGGCGTCACCGGTGACCCGCCTGGTGGTCTGGGCCGACCTCGCGCCCGGCCGGCCGGCCACGCCCCGTCCGCTCCAGCGCTAGGAAGCGGTGGAAGGAGCGGCGGTCTGGGTCTGGGCCGACCTCGCGCGCGAGGCGGGCCGGTCACGCCCCGTCCGCTCCAGTGCCGGGAGGCAGTGGAGGCAGCGGCGGTCCCAGACACATGGCCGGGTGGGGGGAGGGGCACCCCCACCCACGCCAAGACGAGGCACGGAAAGTGACCGCCGATTTCTGCACCCTCCTCTCCAGCATTCAGAGCCTTTTCACTTTGCCGATGGCACAGAAGCTCTCTGGAGTTTGGAGAAGTTCTCTTCTCTCCTTCACTGTCAGCATGCTTTACACGTTTTTCTATGTTTTAGATCCGTTTTTTTCGGTTGGGTCTAGCACTCAGCGAAAGCTTCTGCGCAACTGGTACAGCTCCTTGAGTAGGGTGCTGAGTATCCTTGTTACTTTTCTCAGGGGAATTTTACATTATTGCAGGGGTCTCCATATGATTTATATATATATATATATATATATATATATATATATATATATATATTTCATAATATACCCATGGTTTTATAACGCAGATATCCTTTCAAAGTGCGGTTTGGGACGGACTATGGTGGTTCGTAGTTCTCCTGTTCTCCTGTAAGCCATAGGTAAAGCACCGCCGGACTCAGGGCTGTCCCGCTTCTGTCACGCTTCTGTCCCTCAGCTGGGGTGTCCAGCTGTCACTCCAGCTCGTCCACTGGTCACGCTTCTGTCCCTCAGCTGGGGTGTCCAGCTGCCGCTCCAGCTCGTCCACTGGTCACGCTTCTGTCAATCAGCTGGGGTGTCCAGCTGTCGCACCAGCTCGTCCACTGGTCACGCTTCTGTCCCTCAGATGGGGTGTCCAGCTGCCGCTCCAGCCCCTCCACCGACGTAGACAGTCCGCTAGTCTGGCCCTGCGCCATAGTTTTACCGTCACTTCCCGCTATCTTCATCCGTCTGACTCGGCGTCTGGCGCAATCCGAATTACCTATCACTAGTACCATGGGCGCCTTACCAAGGTGACATTTAGATGGCCATGGTAACTTGACCACACAAAGAGTTGCCATCGCTGACCACGCTTACGACCTGCGCGGAGGGGAACGACCCGTGACCCTTGACCTGACCGGA